AGCATCTTTAAACCCAGTATTCAGAAGGTAAAGCTCTGTACACTACAAAAATATTAGATTGACTCACAGAGTGACCATTAAATACCCAGAAAGCAATTTACTTTTAACCAAAAAGTGTACATCAAGAGGATGTCAGTAATGTTTTCATACTAGAGGAAGGAGCACAGTCAGTTCTCTAGGGAGCCTAGCATGGTTTACTATGGAACAGTTTACAAAGAGAAGACTATATTTTGAATAAAATGCACTCTAGCTAAGGTAAAAAAATAAATATTTTTTGCCTTGGTATTTCCAGGTTAAAGAACTGAGCTGCCTGCAGAATCACATCTTTGAACATCTGCCATGAGTAGGGTTTGCATCCTTTTCTCACCACTCTTAGTGTCACCAGAATGTTTTCAGTGAGGAAATGCTCTAATTGTCAAGCTCATGGTAACTGTTCCTGACAGTATGCTTCATGTCCAGCAAAGCATCCAGAAGACATGAGAGCTTTATGACACAGGGACCAAAGAACCTGAACAAACATTTAAAAAATTTTTTTGACTATCAGCAAAGTTAGACAGATGCTAAAATGAAATCCTGTTTGAATGAAAACGCCTGCAAAGCATTCTCTACCCTAAATAAGAACTGCCAGGGGTTTAGCTCAGTAGCACAGCACATGCCTGGCAAGTGCGAGGTCCTGAGTATGAGTTCCAGTATCAAGAAAAAAATAAAGTCTGAGTAAATAGGAGAATCATTCAATTACCACCCTTAACAATGAGGGAACAGGTGGAGAGCATGCTATACTCTTCACTGTAATGTTTTCATAGCTTGCGGATGCATAATGCTATGAAAGTGACAACTGAATAAGCACTGAAACCCAATAAGCAAAATACAAAGAAATAGCTATATGCACACATACCAAGAAGAAAATACTATCATTAATAATTATTGTTACTATTATAGATAAACTAATGAATTTTGATGGTTCACTAGGGTATAGTATATAATACATGAGTTAGAAATATTTACAGGTAAATCTAATTCCCTTTAAAAGACTTTTTGTAGACTAGATTTACATGACATGAGGCACATAGTATAATACAACACTGCACATAAGAAAATGATGCAGAAAGAACAGAATAAGACATGATGTTATTTTTATCTGTTGTGTTTATAATATCAATCTTAAAATAATGATGAAAAGGATAGTTGCCTTTCAATGTGAATATTTTGAGGTATGATAAAATATCCTTGCCATTTCAAAATAGCATAATGACTAGTTCCTACGTATCTTCTTTAGGAAATCTGCCTGAATGCCAAGTCATTAGATGCATTTCTGACCTTTGGCTGATATTTTAATGATGGTGATGCCAAGTCAGAATAAAACAGAGAAAGCAATGATCAAAGGAACAAAGGAAAAAATGCAAAACAAAACAAGACTTTGTATTGTTTACACCATCTAGTCCAGGAAATTTTACAGATGCTCTCTGTTTGACTGCTTTATTTTATTGCTTATGTTATTGCTTTCTTTTTTCCCCATGTGCTTTTCTCTACTGGCTTTGGCTGAAAATATTTTCTATGTGTCTATACTGTAAACTATCATATTTTTCTAGAGATTTAGTGTGGTGGAGAGCTGTTTTTTGCTTCCCCAAGGGTTAGACACATCAATATTCTAGCTACTCACTTTGGAGGCCAATACAAACTGTGCCTCCTAAGATTAAATAGAGCAGAGTAACACATAAATTCAATTTATACTGAGGAAGTATGTTACTTAGTTATTCACATCCTGAATTTCTGATGAGTGTAATACACCTGTTGGACAGCATATTGCTACTAAACAATCACTGACCTATAATCCAAAGACAGAACAAAACCCTAATATAGCTTCTCTACAATATGTACAGAGTATTCATCATCTGTGGAGCTTTTTGTATGAAGGATCTGATCGAGCTAGGGAAGGATGGTCCATAAGTGTTCTTCAAAACTTTCTTAGAACTATATATATATAGGCATTGCTCTATAATACATCAACTTTTTCCTCTCAAATATAGTGTTTTTTCTTGTAAATATGACTCAAACTATCATTATATAATTAATTTTCCTTTTTACAGACTTGAGTCCTATGTATCTGTTATATGTTTCCCATTTTTTGTCAATACACATTATAATTATAATGTTTTGAATTACAGTGTTATGTTTGGATTAAGTAGATTTGCTTTATCTAACATGAGATGACTGCAGTTAGACTGCAGTTCTAAGTAGTTAGAACACTATTGACATTTTGTTTTACTACAGATAAAGAATCTTACCTGACACATTCATGTACCTAACATGACCATATCTCTAAAAATGAGTAAAATTAATGCTGTGTGTGGGTCTGGTATGCAAATTGTCACCCTAAATTTGAGTCAAGAAAAAATATGCCCCCCAAAAAGAGTTTCCCCAAGAAATATAATCAAGTTGGTGAAATATGTCTCTAGTCAACCAAACTACCCTTTGACTTCCAGATGCATCTCAACATATTATGAAACACACCATGCAGAATTTATAAGCAATTGCTACAAATCAGAAAATATGATGTCAAGATACTAAAGAAATATTTATTGTTACATATGAAGATTAGATAATTTATCTGAATGGTTTTAACATTTATATGTAAAACTCTCCTGGTGAGTCTCAACTATTAGTATATTAAATGCTATATTATTTGCAGTTTATTTCAAAACAACATGACAGTATAGCAGGAAACTGATAGGCCACGAATTAATGATGGGTACTTTGGAATTCATTATAGTAATCTGCCTACATTCATATGCATTTGAAATTTTCCATAAAACAGATATATTGATTTGAATTTTCATTAATTATTTATGGATAAGTTTTACACTTAAACTTATTATTTATTTGTAGGGAATTGTCTAGATATAAAGAAAAAAGTAAATACTATTGATAATGCTGTTTCTGCACATTTAGGTTAAATGTACTATTCCTCTTCAGGAACAGTAATATTTACTTAAATGTCTATAAAGACCATGTCATTATACAAAATATTTTCAGGTTAAATTCTGAAAGTAGAAAGTAGAAATTATGGGGTGGGGATGTAGCTCAGCAGCATAAGCGGCAGCCTTGCATGTGCGCAATTGTGAGTTCAATCCCCAGTACCAAAAAATAAAAAAATAAAAAAAAAAGAAAGTAGAAATTATATAAAAAGTATGCTTAAAGCATATTTACAATTATATCCTCAGAGGAAATGAGAATAAGAAAGTATACCAAGTGGTTATTAAATATTAGGTTTAAATAAAAGAAATAATTAATTTTCTTCAACTATATTCCTATGTATTTTTCCAAATTGTTTTTAATGAGCATGCATCATTTTAAAATTAAATAATTATGTATTTGTTAATGGAAAAGATATACTCTTCTTTACCAAGGAGCTTTGCATTTACTAAAAGGAGAAACTGCAAACACACATTTCCTTAACCGTTTAAATCTTCATAACTAGAAGTGAAATATACCCAGAGGAAAAGAAATGTCAATACAGATTTTATCTGATCATAAAAACATAAGGAACTTTCTGTGTGTTGGATAGAAATAAGGAAAGAACTGGCTTCTTTGAAAGCCAACAAGAGTGTGAAATTGGGGCCCTTCTGTGATGAGATCATTTTGTGATGAATGCAAAGAAAGTGGCAAATTAAAGTCACCAAAATGCCTGTCCCTCGAGTTCCTGAGGTTCACATGGTATTAAGTTTCTTTTTTGAGTCACAGAACAAATAAAGGATGAGGAGGAAGAAGGAGTTATAGTCCTCAGGTCTGTGGCCTTTGGTAAGGATATGAATATGGCCAGAGAGACAGAGACAAATGAACAACAGAATTAGAAACAACATAATGACAACTAGGGATTATGTGCAACAGATATGGAAAATTCCTGCTAGAAAGCTACCTTTATTACCCTAAGAGATGATCTGCCTCACTTTACGCACATTCATATGAAGTGAAGTGGAGTGTAACTTTTAAAGATTTGGCTATGATGTTCATGACTAAATAAGCCTGGAATCAGGCAGAGCACAGTCAGTCAGATGCCAGGCAAGATACCTTCTCCTTCCTCCTTCCCTTGTGGTGTAGTATTTGCCACTGCTTTTCAGTGCAGTGAAAACTCAGCTCTTTGGAGCTCTGTGTACTCACCAATGCTCTACCAATTCACCCTGAGTCTGATCTGTGCTCTCCTCCCAACCACTGACATATCCATAATTCTAGAAGGTCACCCTTTCCTGGAATTTTACAAATCTTCATTAAAAGACACAGACACAAAAACATCAAATTGTGATGACTTGCAGCTCTGGTCTTGGTCCTCTGACTTAATTTGAAAAGATGAGAGGGGCTTTATTCATATCTGGTAGAGGCACTTGTCTGTTTGCGGTTATATGCAAGAGTACTCATATCTGCTTTTAAGATTAATACAAAAGGATCAAATACATTTTGAATTTATAGAATATAAATGGGTAAAGTATCACAAAATGTATTTGGAAGGTTTCATATGTATGTACTTAATGCCAAACATTCAATGTTCCACAAAGGAAGGATCAGTGTCCTCTTTTATCTTATCAACCTTCTTTGCACTCTGGAGTTGTCTTTGCGGGGGTGAGGGGGCGATACACACACACACACACACACACACACACACACACACACCCCTTTGAGAGACTTCCAAACAAGTCTCTGAGCACTTCTATCACCCTACGAAACAAAGTCATTTGAAAAATGTTTATCATTATCTATGATAATGGGTCTTGGGATCATGCTTGTTATACTTGCAATGTGGTATTTCAAATGAACAAGATATGAAAGATATTTAACAAGGTATTTAACAATGTCAAAATATATTCTGTTCAAATTTAGTACTTCTGGTTATAAACCCACTACAACCCTGTAGGCTTAATATTTTTATGAAGATAATAGAAATATATTTGTCTCTTTTTCACCTCAAAATTCTAGACTGCCCCTTAGAGATAATGAAAGTTACTTACAGCCAGCAATGTTGTGAGGAATATCGAGTTATTGATGGCAACACATTCTGAAATGAAAAGAATATAGTAAGTGCAAGATACTTAATAAATATATGATAATTTGGCAATCACAGAAAAAAATCTATTTGTTACTTTTATCTTATCTCACAAGCAGTGAGAGCACTGACTCAGTGATACTATATAGAAAATAAAAAATTCTTCCCTTTAGGATGAAAAGGTAACCATTTACTGAAAAAGTAGCTTTTGTAACTGCTTGCATGTTTGATTTGAGTGTCTCCAACCAGTGGTTATGAATAACTTGCTGTCCACTTCTGCAATTCACTGTAACTTGTGTTGAGAAAGTTATGTTTTATGCTCAATTATCCATGGTCTGTTTAAAAAAAATAAATCAAATCATTGTAAACCATTAGGATTTGTAGCTCCATTTGAACTTTACTGGGCTTTTAATTAAACATCTTGTAAATAAAAACAAACTGGTTTCTCGTTGTTTTGGTTTTTTTTGTTAACTTATGTTCTGAATATAAATACTGTGGCAATGGTGGGAAAACAAGTTATGGATTATTTATCCTGGCTTTATGAGTTATGATTTGCTGGCCTTATCCTCCTTCATGAGTATAAATAAATGTACAATCTTATATTCCAAGTCTGGTAAGATAAATGCAAGGAACGAACTGAAACCTTTTAAAACAGACACATTTATGCTGTTACAGGACAACAAAACAAATCCTAAATTAACATTCTAAAAGTTTCTACTGTAGAGCAACAAACTCCCCAAATATTATACAATCAGTATTTTCACAACTGCTTTCCTAATAGCATTTTATTAGTAATATCACAGGTGTTTGTTTCTTTTCAATGTTTTTAAAATTTAGAAGCCACAAATTGTTTTTCCAGAGATCACCTCCAACACCTAATAATACCGTCACAAGAGAGCTTTCAAAGTGTCTAATACGTTTAATTTAAGCCAAAGGTAATTTAGAAAGATCAGGAATTTGTGCAGCTAAAAGTTATGTAAAAGAATCACTCCATATAAAATTTTTCTATAGCTATCATCTTAGGTCCTATAGAAAGAAAAGAAGTCTAAAAAAATTGGTCAGAGGAATTAAGAAAAGTCAAGAGTCAAAGAAGCCTGGAGCAGAGTACAGAGGAGTATATTTTATGAGAGCCAGAACCTAAAGTACTACCACATTTGAATATGAAATTTAATGAGGATCACTAAGGTAGCTTGCCAAAAATTATGCTTTTCAAATAAGCCAACAGCCTATGCAGCAATGACCACTGAAAAGGACCTCTAGAAAAGATGTAAAATTACTTTTTGAAATTTGCTACTCTTATAGAGATGGGATTATAAGAAATTTCTCATTAAATAGTATGATACATCATCTGCTTCTAGAATGCAAAGAGCTTTATATCTACTATGTTTTACTCCTGTATTACCATAAGCTCTGAGGAAACAACCATAAAAGTTCTCTCATCAGATCGCAGAAATATAGAAAATATTTATGAAGCTGCTACTGTATGTCAGGTGAAGTGGTTCTGCTTGAAAATACTAAATCGACGCCTGGATTGTTGTCATAACACTGGACACTATCTGTCATTACTGCCACTAGCAGAAGAGAGATGAGGTTGAATGATCAACATACGAAAAATTGGGAAAGTTGCTAAAATTCCCCATAGCTTTTGCATGTTCCTGGAATAAAAAGTTCAGGTTTTCCAGTCCTTCCTAAGTTTGGATTCTGAATTAGAAAAGAAATCTGTAAGTAGCCTATAAGGTCCCCAGAACTGTGGTTGCAACAGAAAATGACTGAACATACATGGTTGGCTCACATAGGATATTTGGGACAAAAAGGTCAGCTTTGTCCTAGCATATTTCAGAGAGCTGGAAACGCCACCAAGATGGCCTGGAACGACCTCTGACATGGGCAGCAGGAAATCAACTTCAGAATTTTTCCTCTACTTCTTTTATAACCAGATACCTCTTTCTTGCCAACCAAGAAAATGCTATTCTTCCTCCTTGTTAGGATTCTAAGTTTCTTTTGTTAAAAACAAAATCCAGGCAATTGATTTGAATATCAGGGTACTTAAAATAACTTTCTATATATGGAGCCATACGTATAAAATAAAGCTTTGGTTAAAAGATTATTAATCATATAAAAATTACATTATAAAGAATGCACTTTACACTTTACTGAAATACAGAAAATATTTATGAAGCTGCTACTATGTGTCAGGCACATTAAAGCAATTCTGTCTGAACAGGCAAGTTAGTGCTGAGGTTCTTGAAACATTAAAAAATATTTCCCCTACTGGCAATAGCAACAACAAAAGAAATGCTACACAATTTTTAAAAATAATTAAATACTAATATCTAAAATTGCATCTTGCAATCCAAAATCAGCTTTAATACACGTAGAGGGATATTTAGAAAAATGTATGAGTAAATATGATTTTATAGTTAAGCATTAAATTATTTTAAATCTATTTTTATTTTATTATTTTTATACAAATCTCTTATTTATAGGATTTTTTAGGAAAAAATGAAGGAAATATATTTATAAAATATTTTCAAAGTGCATTATTAGGTTATTTATTTGAGCTCATTCTGTTTTTCTGAAGTGGGAATTCACTGCTATGAACTTTCCTCTTAGGACTGCTTTTGTTGGGTCCCCTAGTTTCTAGTATGTCATACTGGCATTATCTCTTGTTTGTAGGAACTGTCTAATTTCTTCTTTAATTTCATCTGTGACCCACTGATTATTCAAGAGAGTATTGTTTAATTTCCATGTGCTTGCATGCATTATGAGGTTTCTTTTGCCATTGATTTCCACCTTTATTGCACTATATAATAACACACATGGGGTAATTTTGATTCTTTTGCATTTACTTAAGTATACTTTTTGGGCTACTATGTGATCTGTTTTGGAGAAGATTCCACATTTTTCTAAGAAGAATGTGTATCTTGTAGTTGAGTGAAAAACTTTGTAGATACATACAGTGTATCTACAAACTTTCACAAACTGAATTCTTTCCTTGATTCTGGTCACAAATTGAATTGGTCGTGAACCAAATCATATTTCCATATAAGGTCAAAAATAAATGTAACCACTCAATTTTATTTGTTTAATGACCAGAAGAGTGGAAAGAAATATATATGTGAACCGAGGTACTACTGTGTCAAGTCCATTTGTTTGAAGGTTTAGTTAAACTTTGATATTTCTTTGTTGATTTTTCGTCTAATTGATCTGTCCATCTGTGACAGTGGGGTGCTGAGGTCCCCCAGGTGTTTATCTGACTTTTACATGTCCATTAGTTGCTTATTTTATGAAGCTGACTATGCTGGTATTTGGTGAGTATTTTTATAATTGTTAACTTCTTCTGTTGAATCAGTCCCATTACTAGTATATAGTAACCTTTTTTTTTTGTCTTTACTGATTAGTGTTAACTTAAACTGTATCTTTTTTAATTCAGTGTGTTTTTTGTTTGCTGCATATTGGTGGATTTTGGTTCTTGATCCATGAATCTGTCTTTTGGTTGGGGATTGAGAGTTATTACTGTGAAGTACTGACATTTATGTAACTGCATTATTTTCCTGATACTAATTTCATCACCCCCCTCCTTCTAGGTCTGCCTGGTATCTGTCTGTCTTTCTTTCTTTCTTTTCTTTTTTCTTTTTTACTTATTGACATTGTCTTTTTCTAGGATATGCTTGAGTGCTAGAGAATTTTTCATAATGCTGGTTTGGTGGTCATGAATTTCTTGACCTTATTTTTCCATCAGTTGTAAAGGAAAAATGTGCAGGATCCATAAGTTGAAATTGCAAGTTGTTATCTTTTAGGGCTTGAAACACTTCACTCCAGTTCCTCCTGGTCTTTAAGGTTTGCATAGAAGAGTCTTCTGCAAGGGACTGTATGTGATATGTTGCCTTTCTCTAAAAGCTTTTAAGATTTAATGTTGGTGATGGGCTTCTGAAATTTTAGTGGTATGGAGAGTTTTCCATTTTGCTCATGACTACTTGGTATGCTATTTGTCTCACTTATCTGTATGCTAATTTCTTTCCCTCTATTTGGTAAGTTTTCTGCCACTATTTCTGTGACTAGTTTTTTATGCCATTTGTCTTCTGACATTTCACTTATTTCAAGTTTAGATTAGTCTTCTTTACATCTCTAGCAGTTGTTGGATCAATTTTTCATTCCCTTATTGTTCTCAAGGTTGTATGAAAACAAAAACAATCCACACCCAAAGCTAATATGAGGATGGAAATTATAAAGATTCATATGAACTACAAAAGCTGAACCAAGAGGATATAAAAGTCTTAAATGAGCCAATATCAGGTAGTGAAATCGAGTATACACTAAAATAAATAAACTACCAACTAAGAAAAGTCCAGATTCTGATGAATTCACTGCCAAATTCTACAAAAACTTTAGAGAAGTTCTAACATCACTACTCCTCATATTCTTCAAAGAAATAAAAAGGAAAGCAGTACTCCCAAAGTCATTCCTGAAGCAACAATTACTCTGATTTCAAAACCAGAAAATGATCCAACCAGGAAAGAGTAGGATAGGCCAGTTTCTCCAGTGAACACAGATGCAAAAATTCTCAATAAGATAGTGGCAAATAAAATGCAAGAAAACATTAAAAAGATCATATATCATGACAGTAGAATACAGGGATTCTAGGGATTCCAGGGATGTAGGAATGGTTCAACATACACAAATCAATAAATACAATGCACCACATAAACAGAAGCAAGGACAAAAATCACATGATCACCTCAGTAGATGCAGAAAAAGCACTTAATAAAATTCAGTATCCATTCATTTTAAAAATGATGAAGAAAAGAGTAATAGTAAGTCTTTATCAAGTCATAAAAGCCACCTCTGACAAAACAACTGCCAACATCATACTATAGAAGCCAGTTTTTTCTCTGAAATCAGTAACAAGACTTCTACATGATTTTCTATATAGAAGCCCCCAGAAACTCCATCAAAAGATTCCTAGAACTAATATCCAAAATTCAGCAGTATGGCAGGATATGAAGTCAACA